TTGGAGAGGTCTGATTTAACTATGGTAATACATGCCTTATTTACATCTTGGCTGGATTGCTATAACACACTATGTGAGACTGCCTCTGGAAAGGGCCAGGAAACTTCATCGGGTCTAAAATGCAGCAGCCGTATTACTGACTGGGGCTGGCTACGGGGAACATATGACTCCCCTGTTATAACAGCTCTACTGGCTGCTGACCCATTTTCAGGCGGGTCTAAAATGCGGTAGCCGGATTACTGACTGGGGCTGGCTAGAGGGAACATATGACTCCACTGTTATAGCAGCTCTACTGGCTGCTGACCCATTTTCAGGCACAGTCCTATATAGAGCCCTAAACAACTTGGACTTAAGTTACCTCAAGGAGCACCTCTCCCTTCTCAAATGTTAAGATTGTCAGGAGAGGCCTTCCTCTTGGGCCTGCTGCCTTCACAGATTCATTTGGTGGGTACGTGGGAGAGGACCTTCTCTATTGCTGCTCCCAGGCTCTGGAACTCCTTCCCACTGGAAGCCAGGCTGACCCCATCTTTGCTTTCCTTCCACAAGCAGGCAAAGACCTTTCTCTTCAGGCAAGCTTTCTTTGAGTGAATGGCTGCCGAGTGGGGTTTTTAAATGGATTGTTGTGCCTTACTGCACTGAATGTGTTTTGGTTGCTTATATATATATTTTGTATTGTATTAATTCATTCTCTATTCACTGTTACTAGGTTTCACTGTTATTATGCTTTTAATTGTTGTAAGTTGCCTTGGGTCCTTTTAAAGGAGAAAGACAGGTTAAAAATAATACAAACAAATAAGTGAACAAGCAAATATTCTGAGGAATAGAGGTTGTTAGCAATGAGTAAAAGGCAATTTTTAAAATACCGGAGCGGTCTACATTCACACCAAGACAGGCTGAATAATTAATATTGAAACTAGCAGCTCTTTGGTATCAGTCATGTTTAGACCAGCATTGACTAGTCTGAATGGCTGTAGCTTTCCAGGGTCTGGAGGGGAAGAGGCATCTTTCCATCATCTGCTAAAAAGTTCTCTTAACTGAATATGTCCAGGGTTGACCGTACAAACATCTGCACACAGAGCATGTGGGCTGCCACTGACTTTCCAGATTGATTTGACCAGATCTGTTGCTATGGCATAATTTCTTTTGTGGGTGTGGGATCATGAAGTCCTGTTCCCAGCCACCTCATATCATATTCAACTACCTCTCTGGCCTCTGCGATTTCAGCACAGTCATCTTCATAGCTGACCAGAGTACAGGTTGCTGAGGAGGAGAAAAAAAAGTGTCCTTTATCTCACTTTCACCTGGAGTGGCCTGAAAAACCCAGAACAACCATCTTCATAGCCTTCAGGACTTGACGTTTGCTTTTAAAGTGAAAATTTGAAGATTTAGCCATAAGAATTTTACTTCCTTAGCCACATTTGCTGCTCCAGAGAATCATGGCACACACAGGGTGTGGCTTACATACCCTTCCTTCTCCTCATTATAGGATTTAACGTGATCCCCTCGCCCTTAAATCAAACAAGGTACTGCAGAATCACCTAGCTGAAGATACAAATAATCTCTTGCCTTGTCCTCTCATTTGAGTATGAGGAAACACAAAATTATAATGCTTGCTTCTCAAGAAGGTGAGGTATTTTGTGGAACCATCAATGAGAAGAGAGAATGGGAAGAATTCACACACAAAATTAATTAGAATTGCATTTTATGCTTCCATGCATTTTATGCTATAATGCTTTAACACATAATGATGACTGCTGATTCACTGCATGGACTTCTGAGTATTAGAAGCAGTGGAGGTGTGATTTGCATCTTTTTCGGTAATCAAGCTTGTTGTTCTGTGCCCTCTCTAATATGTGTTCTTTGCTTATCAAAAGGGAATAGTTTTGTACAGAGGCAGTTTGCACAAATTACTAGGCAATGATGAGGAGAAAAAAAATAGTGTCCTTTATCTCACTTTCACCTGGAGTTGAGCAACCTTTTGTGGTTTGAGGATTCTTTGTTGATTGATGTATGTTGCAAAGTAACGAGAGCTCAGTCTGGTGAGAATGAAGTAAAAATTAGTGAATGTTCTGTAGTTCCTAAACCCAAAATGGATCAGGGGCCCTTGTAGCCCCTCCCATGATCTCTGTACCAAGGCAGCATTTTGCAGTTTACAAGACATGTAGTTTGACTTCTTGCTTGAAAGAACATTCCTGGTAGTTTGACAGTCAGCTGTCAGGGTTTTTTCTTTCTAAAATCTTTACCCCAGTGTTTCACAGGTGGGCCTGGAACATGAAATTTGGCAGCTCCTTTAGAGTGCAGATAAAGCCAAGAAGGAGGATATGTCAGCAAAATCAATGTTAGCATTTATAGAAAAAACAGGAAGCTTAGCAGTATGATGGGCCCCACTTTAGAAAAGATGCCCAATTCTTTAGAAATTCAAACATAACTCTGCCCAGTCGACTGGCTTGTCAAGAGAGTTACTGACCTTTTTATTTTGTTTTGTCCCCATTTCTCCCCCCTCATCATTTTCCAATAAAAGATAATAGAATAATGATTTATTTCTGTGGGCCGGTGTTTTAATGCGTCTCTCCGTTATCCTTCCCTGACAGTCCGTGATTACAGCAAATGTTTTGCTCGTGACACTTGGATAATGACTCTTTAATAGAAGGATTAACCTCCTCTTTAATCACACTGCTGCCAGAGATTTCACCCATGCTTTCCAGTTCACGCTGGTCTGCAGGGGGGGGGGAAGCAGAATTAGCTCATTTTCTCCCATCTTTTGTGCTGGCACAGCAATCAAAAAGTGGTACTCCTCTTTGGGTGTGGATGTGTGCTTGTGTGTGCTGTTCATTTTAACTTCTTTTACCACCTTGCGACCCTGAACACATACCCTGTTTCCCCGAAAATAAGACCTAACCTGAAAATAAGCCCTAGTATGACTTTTCAGGATGCTCGTAATATAAGCCCTATCCCAAAAATAAACCCTAGGTAAGTGAAACCTTGTCCTCCACCCTTGTGCAGCAACCAGAAGATGACATGACTGTATTTGAATAAATGTAGATAGTTGTACATGAAAAAAATAAAACATCCTCTGAAAATAAGCCCTAATGCTTTTTTGGAGCAAAAATTAATATAAGACCATGTCTTATTTTTGGGAAAACACAGTAGATCTCATCTGAGTGCCTGCTGGCAAGCCAGGAGATGTCTTGTCCCCACCGAGGAGTCAGAGAAAGACATTCTTATGTTCCAGTAGTACCAGGAACTACCACGAATGCCAGATACCGTTCTGACAGCATCTGATAGACACAGATGAGTTGTTGGTATCTCAGCCAGCAATTGCCTGTTGTAGCAGTAGGTCTGAATTTTTAGCATGCTTCATTTTAAGAGGAAGTAAGTTTCTAGCTGTCATGTTTATGAAGAGACTGAATATCCAGAAACAAAGAAGACAAACAAGGACCTTTGCAGCACTTTAAATACAAAGAAGTATTTTCTGGCATAAGCTTTAGTTGATTAGACTTTCGCATTTGTCTTCCTTAACCACCCCCACCTCGGTTCCATCCTCCAGTCCCCTAGAGCAAGAAAGTTAGTATACTTAAGACAAGAAATAGGACAAGATCTTTGGCAGGTACGTAGCCAAATCTCTGCCTGTGGGGCTTCTTCAAACCTTCAAACATCCCCAAGAAAAGGTTAGAAAAATAAAAGTGGGGCTGGCTAGATATTTACTGTATATCCATTTTTTGAGGGGTGAGGGTGTTTGAGAGTATTAAATGCTGTGACCCATTTAAAAGCTGAAGCATTCCAAGAAATGTGGTTAACCTTTTGCTGAAAAGGAGAAACAGGGAGGCTCGAGGCCTGTAAAAGTTAGCCTCAGGGCAGCATGTACCCCTGTGTTGTCCTTTGCCCCCCCACCTTTGTGCTAGGCAGTCTGTTGGCCCCCCTTCTAAGTGAGATTTCATCTAACATAGAACCTAAGCAGGCAATTTGCCGTTGAACTAATTCTAGATTCGAGATTACTCCAAAGAATAAGTGAGGCTGGCTTCAGGTGTTTGAAATCCTGATATATACCAGGGAGGTGAGATCACCCAGAGGTGAGTCTGTTAAATGATATGCCCCTGCTGAGTGAAGTGGGTGGTAATGGATACCAACACACGTCAGCTTAAGGTCAAGGCTGGGTTTAAAAAAAGGCCGCTAGGCAGCATCCTATGATGCTTCTAAACTGCCTGAGCTAAGGAAACAGCCAGAACACAAGGAACCCTTTCCCTTTAGGAGAGGTGGCTAAGCTTATCTTTCAGGGATTTTTACCCTGTTGTGAATGCACATAATTAATTTTAATTATTATTAGTTTTTACAATGAAGGTTTTCCTCGATTTTATGATTAAAATTGGGTTTCACTTGTTTTTATTCTTTTATAGATATATAGTAAGCCACCTTAAGTGCTACTTTGTAGTGGAAAGGCAGAGTAGAAATATAGGGAGTTTCATGGCACAGTGGTTCAGCTGCAGTACTGCAGCCAAAACTCTGCTCATGACCTGGGTTCAATCCCAGGTAGCTGGCTCAAGAATGACTCAGCCTTGCCTCCTTCCCCGGTTGGTAGATTGAGTAGCCAGCGTGCTGTGTGGGAGAGGGTCAATGTGTAGCCTGCATAATTAAATTGTTAACTACTCAGAGAGTGCTTTAAGCACTATGGGGTGGTATATAAGTAGCACACTTTATAAATGAATGAAAAATATCTGAGTGAGGAACCCCCAGAAGCTGTTCATTGCCTTGTGGTGCAAAACACACTTCAGTAGCGAGTCCACACCCCCACCTTGAAGTATAAAAACAACTTGAAAAACATTACAGCTGCGCTGTGAAAGTAGTAAAGTGTCCCTTGTAACTGTACAATACAATTCATATTTAACTTAGTGATCCCTTAGTTATCACAAAAAGGAATGAGTTACATGGGACATGTTATTTGTAACCTGGGGGACATCCAGCTCTGACCTGGATTCATCCATCCTCTCTTCTTATCTCTCTAGACTGTTTATTTCCACACATCTTTGGACCATCCCAGCATTGTTGTGATTATAGAGATCGTTGCAAAAGCCCAAAGACGGGACGGCACCCCACAGGACCTCTCATGTGGTTTTGGGGTGCTTCGTTTGTTTGACAGCAAATCTGATCCAGCAAAATTGGGCTTGAAGGAAAAAGGGTGCGTATGCTGGTGCAAACCAGGACAGATCCGGATATAATTGATTGTATACCCTAAGTCAAGGTTCACGTGTTGCTTGCTGCATTACACCTCATGTTTCTGCAGACAGAGATGTCAACAAGGCATACTTCCAGAGTGCTTTGCTTACAACATGTTCTAAGACTTGTTAGCAAAGCAGACTTTGCATACAGAAGTCCCATTTTCAGTTCAGGATGGATGGGAAACATACCAGTCTTCAAGGACCTAATGGATGAGATAGAATTAGAACTGTGGAGTTGAAAGGGACCCAAAGGGACTTCTGGTCTGCCCCCCCCCCCCCATGCAGTTGTAGGTAAAACAATCTCTGCCTGCTGACCATCCAACTCTGTTTAAAAGCCCCAGTGAAAGAGACACTATCTGCATCAGATGTGGACTCCTGCATTGTTGAACAGCTCTTGCTGTCTGATGTTCATCCTCATGTTTCATCAGGATGTCTTCTCTTGCGATTTGGATCCTTTGGTTCAAGTGGAAAGAAACTAGATAAGTGAGAACAAGGAATTTAGTGAATATTGTTTCAGTTCTTAAAAGAAAGGGCCCAACACTCAGCTCATCCTTTCCCCTGATGTACATTTCTTCTGCATTTGTTATTTTCTCACCACTCACCCTTGCACATACAAATGGGAACGTAATACCTGAGAAATACAAAGACTGTTACTTTAAAATGTTTAAGGTGTCAGAACTCTCTAATATCAGATGACGTGCATTAAAATTCAGTGAAATAAGAAGGTGTTAGAAATCACACCTAATGCTAATACTGTTTCAGGGAGAAAGAAGGGTCAGCAAAATAAAATGGACGAAGAAGGATGGGGCAGGGCAATCCTAATTTGAACATACACCAGCTGCAAGGGCTTTGGAATAGGCTGAAGCCTCTTCTGCTAGCCAGAAATCCCCCTCATGCTGACAGAACTGTTCTTCTCCAGCAGAATGCTCTTACTTCAGAGCCTGGCCAGCAGAGGAGCCAAAAAGGGAAGGGGAAGGGGCAGAGCAGAAGATGAGTGGATTGATGCCAGATGTAAACTTTTTCAAGACCAGGGACAATGTTAAGCTGAGGCAAGGGCAGCCCTTCATGGTTTCCAACATCCCAAGCCTGGGATGGTTGGGAGTTCAGCACACCTTCAGCTGCCCCTGGGCCATCTTGACAAGTTGGGATTGTGCTATAAATCAGAAGCACAGCAAGTTAGGGAAGTCCTGGCAGAAGATGAAGTTGAGGCTTTCCCTCAAGGGTAAGGAAAGTGGAAGGGGCAAAGAACTGAAGCATCCTTCTTATAGACCAGATGGGCGGGGTACAAATCAAATAAATAAATAAATCCAGATATCTGTCTCATAAAAACAAGAATCTCTTGGCTACTGGGTTTTCTGCTTAGATATTAGAGTTCCTGGGTCTTATCTCCTTTTTGTTTTTGGAAAAACACCTTCATTCTTGTGACCTGCCTCTTTCTTCCACAGGCTCAGTCTGTATCATGGGACTCCACGAGCCCTCTTGCATCCACTGCTTCAGGATCCAATAGAAAGTATGTTGATTTTCATGTGCTGTGTTCTTAGTTTGACATATGGGAGATATTAGATCCAGAACATCCTGCAGGAAAGTCTGTAGAAAAAGTTTCAAAGGGGTGAACGGAGGAAGGGTAGATATGGGGAGAGAACAGAAGAGGCTCTTACTCTGTCTCTCTTTCCACTCTCCTCACAAGTCATTTCTAAACTGTCTGCCACACAAAGGACCTGAATGAACCTGAAGTTTTTTTCCACAGAAGAAGCTGTCTGATCTGTCTGTTGTGCCTCTTCGTAGTCACATGCTATGGCTATGCCTGTTTCTAGTCAGTCTCCTCTGGGATAGATAATTCTGCCATGGATGCTGTGTTTTGTGGTTTTGTGAAATACTCAACTATCCCACAAACTGCACCAGAGCACAGACAGAGTTCTGATTCCTGTCCTCTGAAGATGCCGGCCACAGAGACTGGCGAAACGTTAGGAAGAAAAACCTTCAGCTAGACAGCCCCGAAAAACCTACAACAACCATCAGATCCTCTGGGATAGATAATTCTGCCATGGATGCTGTGTTTTGTGGTTTTGTGAAATACTCAACTATCCCACAAACTGCACCAGAGCACAGACAGAGTTCTGATTCCTGTCCTCTGAAGATGCCGGCCACAGAGACTGGCGAAACGTTAGGAAGAAAAACCTTCAGCTAGACAGCCCCGAAAAACCTACAACAACCATCAGATCCTGGCCATCAGACCGCCCCGAAAAACCTACAACAGCCATCAGATCCTGGCCATGAAAGCCTTCAAGAATACATAGTATGCACTGCTGGATAGCTCCGCAGCTTAGGCTTCAGGCTGTGGAACCAGAGGTTGGGAGTTTGATTCCCCCCACTGTACCTCCTTGACAAAGGCTAGGCTTGATGGATCTATAGGGTCCCTTCCAGCTCTGCAGTTCTAAGATTACAGATTATTATAATTCAAGAAGCAATAATGAAAGTGGCATCATAAAACATTGAAATAGTGACCCCTGAAGTAAGATACTGAAGGACAGCATCAATACCTTTAGAAGAGAGGCAGCAGTGTTCGATGTACAGAGCTGGCAACAGTGAAACTGTGGTGTGAGAAGTGGAGCTTGTTAAAATTGTGCCTTCTACATAACAAGCAAGATCCAGTACTTGCTGTTTACCAGGCTTATTTTCGGCCATTGTTCTTCTGCACCTTTACAAAATGTGCTCTCCTCTGTTTCTGTAGAGAACAAGTACTTGATTGTGGTGGACGGCAGTCACCTGCAGTGCACCTTGCAACCACACCCACCCTTGGAGGCTGTGTATCACCTCCTCCCTGAGAACATCCCTGTGTCCAGCCTGCAGAGAATCCCTGGGGTCATAGCAGCACATGAAGGTATGTCAAAAAAAAAAAAAAAAAAACAAAAAACCAGGGGCGGGTAATGCCCTTAGTGGGTCATTGAAGTGTTTCCACCAGCAGGAGGACAAATAGGTTTCTGTCCCCCTTAGAACCTTTGTCAAACTTGGAGCTACAGAATTTAGGAATAGTTGTGGGGAGAAGCAGAAAAGTCCAGCTTTCTTCCTGGCCAGCCACGGCAGCTCTAGATACTTAAGTTTAAAAAAGGGAGATAGCAAAAGGCTTGGAGAGTCAGCCTACAGTGTGGAGTTATCAGTTAGTTAATCATGTGTTGTCAAGTTGGAACCAGCTTATAGCAAACCTAATAGGGGTTTCAAGGTAAGCATGATATTTAAGGAATGGTTTTTACCAGTTTTTACCAGTTCCACTCTCCCAATGAGTTTCCATGGCCAGGTGGGGATTCAGACCCTGACGTCCAGAGTCCTAGTCTGTCAGTCTATCCACTAGACCATCCAGGGTACCTTTAAAGTTATCAGGTTGCATCTTAAGGATGTAAAAATCAGTTCCCTCTTTCCATCTCTAAAGACAAAGCACTTGAATGCTCTCAGCAAACTGTTGTCTTCTAGTTGAAGCAGTGCTTATTTATTGTTTTACTTTTGGAGGAGTGTATGAGGTCTTCCCCCGTGTAAAACTTACTTGGTTTACTTGTGCTTTCTCTTCTTAATTTGTGAGCTTGGCTTTAAATCACTAGACAATCCAGACTTTTAAGAGTTTGGGAGAAACAAACTGCTTGTACCCCAAGTAAACCAGGAACTGATGGATGTTGTGGATTTTTCGGGCTGTTTGGCCATGTTCTGGAGAACAGGGCCAAACAGCCGGAAAAACCCACAACAACCATTGGATCCCAGCCGTGAAAGCCTTTGAAAACACATAAAACCAGAAACTCTTCAATCATCTGGCCCAGTGCCTTGCCAAAACAAGGCCAGGTAGGAGCATTCTTGACTATTCTGTAAACTTTCCATAGAGCTCATGTCTGGAGCTCTTGAATCACACCTAAATATCAACGACCAGATTCCTAATGACTTTGAGCTCTAGGGAAGGCTTGGCTGCAGGTGGGCCATTTATCTCACTGCTAGAAGGGCTGTCCTTATATTGACAACCACAGAGCTGTGGGACTGGAGATCATGGGCCTTGGATTTGCCCATCCTGGACTGCAGATTTAGCAGCAGGTATGCAATGCACCAAGCCACAGTCATGAAAATAATTTCTAATTTCATGTCTCTAGATATAAATGAGCATGCACAGGTATATGCAAATCAATGTCCTCTTTTCCTCCTTATGTTTTGGAGAATTATGTTTTCCTTTTTGGTAAAGCGAAAGCGGCACCTTGGCTGGAGATGAGGGTGGCTCTTCTTCGTGGCCACTGGCTACTTGCCTCCAACTGGAAACTCTTTAAAATTCAAGGCTGAACAACTTCTGGACATGTCAGAAGACCTCCCTGAGTGGTCCAGGCTTTAAGGCTTATTAGGGAAACGGTAGATGAAATCTGAACAATTCTAATGAAATCCTATTGTGTATTTCCTTGCTTTTTATTTTACTTCATTTCCCCCTCCCCTTTATCCACTTTCCTTGAATCTTTGAAGTACAGTATGTGGGCTATAAATGTAACTAATTCCCAGTTTTTCTTTAAGTTCTGGGTGCTTGAAGTGGGATGTGTTACTTTGAAGAAAACCAGTGTCCTCCAAAGTTAAAAACTCTGCCGCTTCCGTTCTTGTTTGTTCTCTTTATCCAAGGCAGCTCAGCAGTAAATACTACTTGGTTTCTGGACATAAAAGAGCTGGAGGCCTGAAATTGGCTTCAAATGGGCACTTCCAGCCAAATGTACCCTGTAATTTGATACACTGAAGCTTCAGATAACAGCCTCCCTGAAATTGAGAAGGTATATTTGGCTCCCAAAATTGAATTAAGGCAGATTCTAGTGTTAGCAAAGCTAATTTGTTAGAAAGTCTTGTTCCCGCCACTTCCCGCGGCTCTTAAACCGCTCCAGCAACCAAAGACATATTATTTCTTTCTGTTGCTGGATGCTTTATATGTCATCGGGGCTGCTTTAGCTAACTATACAGTGGAAGGCTCCATAGTGCTCAGTTGTGGATCTTAGGGAGTAAAAGAATCTTAATCACCGGCTCATGTCATTGTTTGCTTCTGGGACCTTTTTGGTGTGAAGACTTCAGGTGCTTCAAGTATAGAAGAAAAAAGAATGCTTTTCTTTAACTCAAGAATTCTGCAGCCTGTCCCAGAAACCAATTTGGAAAAGAGGAACAAATTGGGATAATTCTGGAATAGTAGTGGTCATTGTTCTTTCTTTTATAAATTGTAGAATATATTCCAGCAAAACATTACAGCATTCCTTTTTTTTTTTTTTTTTGAGATGACTGTCCCACCAAGTGTTCAAGAGCTCTGCTCTTCTTTCTAGCGGTGTCCTGGGAATTCAAGAAGCTTGATCAGTCACCTCTTCTGACAAGAGTCATCCATCTCACACTTCACTGCTGTTTTGGCCTCAAAACTTCTCAAGCGACAAGGAGCTTAGCAACCTTGATGCTTCTAGCAAAGTCACTTGAGTGGCTGTGCAGAGTCTTAGAGCAGGTCACACCTCCCTGGCCTCCATTAGTGTAATAGAGATGGATGGATCCTGCAGCTGAAGGGAGAGTCTTGGGGGTTCTGCAGAGCTGCTGGCACAGCACAGAAGAGGGGAGGACTGGGCTTGCTTATTTTACACACTGCCACCCCATCTTGCCTCCTCTGTTCATGCTCTGCTATTGACTACATACAGCTATCCAAATTTGCCCCTGAGTAATTCACTGTCACAAAAAATCTGGAGTAGTTTTTCCTAGCCAGTTTGAAAAGCTCAGAAGAGGCACCCAACCATCTCTTCCAACCTCTTTTGTTTCCCCCAAATCCCCTTCCCAGCCATCCTCTGAACTCATTTCCCTCTTCCCTGACACTATATTTTTTCTGAAAACCCTTTCAAGTACCATTAGCAAGCTTCCTTCTTTCCTTCCTTTCTTTTCCCTTTTTTTTTTTTTTTTTTTTTGCTTCCAAGCTTTATTGTTGGACCCCTTGATTGGCCTATCTTGTGGACAGCTTCTCTACCCTTCCGTAGTTGGGGCTGTAATTTCACAGTTGTCAGGTACATATCAATAGCAATCTGACTGCTGTGAAGGAATATGTAAAACAATGAGATCATTTTAAAAATGTTCTAAGCTTTGCTCTTAGCCTTCTAGTTTATGGTTGGTACTCTACAATTGCAGAGGGACCAGAAGAGTGGATGATTGCAGTACAACTTTCTCCTGACAACTGCCCCCGGGGAAGTGTGAGGAGCTGAGCCAAAGGGAGAACAGCTGTTCCCATGTTTTCCTGATGTGCTGTCTTGGAATGATTGAACAGTACAATTTGTTGCCTGGAGCACTTCTGTTGCAGGGCTCAGATGTCATCAGCGATTTTAGCATTCTTTCTGATCAGTTGTATGCAAGTTTGTGGGTTTGTTTTTTTTTTAATGTGGGAGGTGTTTTACTCCCCCCCTTCCCCTGAACAAGATTTTATTCACCTTATTGTTTTTTTCCCCAGGGCCTTGCACAAATATTGCCCTCCTTGACCTTCCAGTGTGGTAGGACAATTTTCATTTGTGCTAAAACTATGCTGAAGAAAAGGGCATGTTGTTGAGCCAGAGTGGTATCACAATAGTTCAGATGTTTGGGCTGGGGAGTCAGGAGATTCGGGTTCATGTCTCCTGAACCACAGAAATCATTAGCTGACCTTGGATCAGTCATTTTCTCCCTCTCAGCTTGACCCACATTACAGAATTGTTAAGAACTGCCAGATAGCTCAGTGGTTTAGGTCTCTGGCTGTGGTTGGAAGTTCGATTCCCCACTGGCCCTCCTTTGACAGGGGCTGGACTTGATGATCCATAAGGTCCCTTCCAGCTCTGCATTTCTGAGTTTATTATCATTATATGACACAGCTTTGGATATTGCCTTTTAATGACGTATGCCACCTTTGTATATTCACTGTTTTGTTCTTAAATATTGACTTTCGGTAATGTAAGCCACTTTGGGTCCTTTTCTAAGGAGGAGGAGGGGTAAAAATATTTAACACAAAATAATAATAAATAAATACTGTACTCTTGGAAGGAAAAGCTGGACATGAATGTAAGTAATGGACAGATATTAATAAATAGCTGATTCATACATGCAAGACTATTGGATATACAAGGAGTCTCCTTTAAGACCCTTGAAGTGCTTCTTAAAAAACAGTTATAAGCCATGATGTCTGAAAACCTGGGGGTAGGGGAGAGTACTGTAGCATTCTTGAAGCTAACCAGTTTATTTCAGGTTTGAGGTTTCATAGGTTGTATTTTAAAAAGTAGTTTCATATTTGGCTGAGGAGTTTTTTTTTTGGCTGGGCTTTCTTTTGGACTCTCCCACCTCATGGCCTGGGGGTGGGGCCTAGGGGGTGGGGCTTTCTAATTTAAATGAGGGTGTCCCAGGAAATTCTCAAATTATTTGATTCTGTCTCTGACCCTAATATGTAAATAGGAAAGCCAATTAGAATTGCATATACCTGGGAGGCAGGAAAGTTTTAAGGGTCGGATCATACTTCTGCACTATTAGAGAGCAGGCTGGGTAGGTGGGGCTTGTCAGCCATGGAAGGCAGCCCCATCTAGGAGAATCAAACCTCCACTGCCTTGTGGCTATATCCGCTGATGGAAAAGGCTTCAAAAGTTAACCTAGAGGCAAAATCTGGAGCTGGAGTCCCGAAGGCAGTTTGTGTCGTTCTGCCAACTCCTGTGACGTTGCTGGAACCAGTTCTGTTGGCTCTTGCCTTTCCATTGGACCATTTCAACAATGTGGAGAGGGGGGATCTGCTGCTTGGGTAACAGCCTATCCTTCATATTACTTTCCCCAGGCTTCATGCTTTGGAGAGGACACTCTTTGATACAGAGCACGTTACCAGGGTCTCTCGAGACTGAAGGATGCCTATGCTAGTTTCATATTAGAATAGTAGGGTCAAACAGAATCTGAATAGGCTAAGGCATCCTTTGCATTGAATGCAATCAAACCATAATTGAGGGATGCACGCCTAAGCAGAAAGCCTATGTGAAGTGTTGGGGGTCCCATCTTCGCCCACCTGCTCTCGGGGAACAGGATGGCTTTTCTTATGGATATAATCACGTGAAGAACCGTGCTGGATTAGACCAAAGGCCTGTCTGGTCCAGCATTTCCTGTACACAACAGGAAATGTGGAAGGCATCATTTGCATGCAAGGAAGGATAGAAGCCCCTAGGTTCAGAAAAGTCAAGTTTCTGAGCCTGAGTCATTCTGAATATCATTTCATCTTCCAGGACATTCTCAGGTGCAAGCAGTGTAAGTCTTTGGGTCTCCAGAAATTTTACAAAATGTTTGCAACGTGTTGGTTTCCATAAATAGGCTTCCATGCCCCTGTAGCCAGTCTTCCTTGCTTAATCCTTGCCTTTTCTTGGTTTTCTTCCGTCCTGTTCCATTTATCTAGCAAGTAAAACTGACCTTTTATTTCTTTCACTGGTCTTCCACCACTTCTTTACTTTATCTCAGCAAGAGAGTTCTTCTTGAATGGCTTTCATATTTTGCCTGGGGACCCTTGTTAGCTCCATCTGACATATTAGTCCACAAAACTTGATGCCAGAATGTGCAGGTTCATCTTTCAGGTGTCTCAAAACCCATTGTCATTTCTGTTACTATAGGGAGAATGGCATCTGGGGCTGCACAGTGAATCTCCTCACCAAGGCATACATCAGTACGTTAAAGAAAAAAAGATTTAGTGATTATTACTTTCGAGGGGAAGAGAAGACAAATGCAGGCATAGCTCCCATGTCGTATATATTAAATTACCATAATATGCCTCTCCAGTAGCAGTGTTTACACAACATTTATTTCAACAGTTAATAAGCAAATGTAGAGTAGATATTAAATCACAGAAATGTGTCTTTGTGGTAGCAATTGTTGCAATATGTTTTCTAATAATTGAGAAACACATTTCATTTCTCTCCTAAGTCTTGTGGAATATAGCCTCTATTACAGTGGTTTATTAGTTCAGTCAATTCTGGCAATCTCAAGAATTTTGCTCAGCCAGCTGGAGTCAGAGGCCATCACATCCATTTTCCAATATTGCACTCAGCCTGCTTCAGTTTCTACTTACACAAGTCCTAAACCCATCTTCCCTATTGTCATAAATGAATCACCTATTTACACTTGATAACGTTGTCAGTGGATTATGAGTTATAGTCCCATCAAAAAATTGCCAGAATCCATTCCCATGCAGCCTTGTAGTCTTAGTGTCCTTGTGCATATTTCTTTTCCCTTGCATTGAATATCGATTCTCACATTCTGAAACCTTGACGTTTTGAAAATATTTGTATGATAAACATGAATAGCAGCTATATGATATTTCATACTAAGTTTCTCTCCATGTTAAAACAAAGTGGCATGTGATAATGTGTATGGAAAGCTAACGTTTCTTCAGAAATCTCAGGCTGTGGATTTCAGACACACACACACCCATAGATACTAATGGTAAAATTCTCTGAGTGCTCTGGTATCTGAAAATTACAACAGGGAGATAATCAACAATCACAACAAAAGGCAGTTTGGGCAGTAGTAAAAGAACCTTTAATGCTGGTGTGGGGCAGGTCCTGTGTTGCAGTCCCTCCCCCCACCCCTGACCCTCCAGGTATAGTACAAGCAGGCACAAATGACAAGGAAAATAATGAATGGAAGAAATATAGAACAGGGTCTGAAGATGGCTGGAAGCTCAGCTTCTGATTTTTAAGAAATGCCTGTTCAAAGAGGCTAAACAGGAAAAATTGCCCATGCCCCATGGCCTATTTCAAAGGTAAGTCACTGATTCGGGAGGCTTCCAGGAGAGGCATTCTCTCTCTTTCTTCCTTTTTTGAAAAAGAAAGTTTGAAGGCCACTGGGAACTTCACTTTGCTCGCACCTGCTTTAGTGCGTGTAGACAGGATTAAAAGTTGACACTGAAATCAGCCTAAGGATAAGGTTCACATTTCTGCTTGATGCAATGTTGAGCTGTCTTCGAACTGTCCTTGCTTCCATTTGTGTGGAGGGCAGAAGCTTGCTTTTGGCTGCCCTGCCATCATCAACGACTGTCTTTGCAGAGGATCCCTTGCAGAAGCCACGACTCATGAAGACCGTGACATGCTACTTGGAGAAGCTTTCCATCCACCTGTACCCTTCGCTGGAGAAGTTTGAGGAGGAGCTGTTGGACTTGCTCATGAGTGATGAGGTACATTTGCAGACATGAAAAATCGGCAAGTGCAAAAATGGGAAGGATGTGATCTTATGGTACACAGAAACAAATTTGGGAATATATACATTTCAAAATGGATTTCTTCTTCAATGTGAATTTTAACCATTGGTCATCAGACTCAAAATAATTCTTTCCTAGGTATTGACACTAGCCTTTTCAGCCACAGAGGTGAAAGATGCACAGGTAGTAATCCCTCCCTCCTTCCCTTGTAAATTTTGAGTAATCTTGTTGCACCATCTATTCTCGCCTTGTGGCTCCTGGTCCCACCTGCAGCAAACCAGCCTGTCTCTTTCTAGTCTCCTAAGCTGAAATAAACAGCACATTAAAATCTGGATGCCGGGTGGTCCATATTCTGGAAAACCTGGGTTTTCTGACCTGTCTCAATTTTACAGCTTCAGGAGATCTGCTGTTTCTCTTGCTTTGCATTACTTTATCTGTAATGGTTATTGCTTTGCATAGATTATTCCAGATTTGTTCCTCAGTTTTGGAGCGGGGAAGAATTAATTGTTGTTACAAAAGTTCTTCTCAGTTGCTTCAGATCTTTCTCTTTCCCCCCCTAGCCATTATTGCAGGGACCACAGAAAATATCTAGGAGACACCTAGTTCATAAGGAATGAAAACTTAAAAAACAAACAAACAAAAAAAAACAAATAGATTGCTGAAATACAGGATTCTCTAAAAAGTTAGATATCCTGCCTCCTCCGATAATAGACAGCGAAGAGACAATGGACTGTTTCAAGAAGAATGGAACTCCCGTTATCTGGACAGTAGCAATGTGTTTGCTTGTCCATTTGCATATGAATTGCTGTAGAGACTGTTTGTTTCCCCTTTCTAGAAATTGTTTTATTGTCTTAGCTTCCCTTCTGATTAAGAGACAGATCCCAGGTTTTTTTGATTCTGTTTTTCCCCCTTCCCAAGAATGAGCACTACACTAACGAGGCTATATTGTAGACAGTCTTGGTCTTGATTAATGAGCGTGAAGAGTCACATCTAAGTTTTAATGTTTGTGTGCTGGAGCTCCTGTAATTTAGGAAGCAATAATGACCTGGAGGGTAAGCCTTGTTGATTTGTCAGAAACACAGTGGCTTTTCAGAGAGAGAAGATGAAAGACTTTAATATCCAGCAATCACTCTGGGGCAGCTTTCATTTTTATTAGTTTATGACATACTGCTGAAAATTACCACTCCCCCTCCTCAGAGTGCATCAGTAGCACAGGTCCAAAATGCAAGAGCATTTAAGTTACTGCAGCTGAAATTTTGCACTGATGCCAGTGTGTTGGAATGGGGAAAAAAAGAGGGTGCTGTGTTTTGTTCTGGGGGGGGTGCTGGGTTCAAGAGCCACCACTGCTGTTTCATTGCTAATTCTCCACACTAGCTTCCCATTGTCCAATACCAGTGGTTGGGGCTGGATTTAAGGTGCAAGCCCCCTACTGTCCAAGGCTGTAGCTGGGACTGAGTTGTAGCTTCTGGATCTAATGACCAGATACCTCTTAGTGAAGTCTGATAGAGCCAGGCTGAAGAGGGTCCTCTCACAAAAGCTGCTCCTCTCTCTCTCTCTCAGGCCAGCTGGACACGTCTCTAGTGCTGCCATTGCTGCCTTCAGCACCTCTTCTGGGTTGGTGTGGGCTTCCTGGTTGAGACTTTGCTGTATGGTTCAGCCACTGTTACAGGGGTCCTTAGTAGAGGGAAGATGGCATTCCCTTGCCACAGCCGCTACTGAGAGCAAAGCTGATCCACTCTCCTGTCTAGAAATCTTGGAAGAGCCCACGCCAGTTCTCTCTTGAGGGTGCAAAAGACTTGGGGTAGTTCCTCCCATGCCTCTGAACATCTTTCAGGTCCCCCCCTCCTCGTCTTCCTCCTTTATCCCTGGACCCCTGCCACTCAACTCCATCTGTATCCTCTCCTTCCGGTTATGGGTCTTCCTCCTCCTCCTTGCTTCTGCCCAGGTACCATTCCTGCCCCTTTTATCTTCAGGCTGCCTTGTTGCTAGGGTCTCTTGAGTAGACCTCTGGGGATGGGGTGCAGGACCAAGATGGACAGCCTGAGGTGTCCCCCTTACAGCTGGTAGTCTCTCAGAGATGATTTAGCTATGGATTCCCTGCTTTAGCAGGTGAATTGCACTGGATGCCCTGAGCCCCACTCTACAGTTCTCTGACTCTACAATGAACAAACATGTGTGCATGTATACATAAAGCATGTTGCTTCATATTTACTATACTTACTAGTTTCTGCTTCTCTGTATTTTAACTTGTCGTTTAACTTAGATCTTAATACATTTGTTCAGTTATTTTGTAGGCTCAGGTTTAACGGTATGTTCTCTTATACATTTTATATTTTTATGGTATTTTACTTTTAGCTGCCATGTATGTCTCACATGGAAAGGTGGATTATAAATTTTTCAAGCTTAACTCATCTATCTATCCACCCGCCCATCCGATTAAATTCTTCAATAGGAATTCATTCTGGTTTGAGATGTTCTTGAAGCAAACTGTCTTGTGTCAGAATCGTTTGGTTCCTCACTTCCTTTCACCAGCTCACCTATGATAATCTAGCAGCTCACCTCCATGGTCTGTTTGGCTATTGGAAATGTATGTTAGTTAAAAAAATGCTACTTATGATTTAAATGGCAACGATGATCTCCATCAAGCTGAGCTTGACAGGATTTGAGAAGACAAAGAGAGGATCATAAAGGCTTAAAATTCACACTGTTCAGATGTTATAGCCATATGATCTGTGGTTGTTTAAGCTCACAAACAGAAACTGTAAACCAGGAGGACTAAACGTGTCATCATCAGGCTGCACCTCAAGGGATGTAAAAGCACTTGCCTCTTTCCATCTCTATAGACGAATACTTTGCAGGCACTCTGCAAACCCAGTTCCTTGCTTTTTATTTGGAGCACCTGGCCCTTGTTCTCACATGGAGCTGGCATGCCCCATAACTTGCCAGTTCTCATACCAGTTCCCATACCAGCCAAGCTGGAGAGTGAATTCAGGTAGATCACTAGGCAAAACAGCCAAATGATGACATTATTTGGCGTCTGCAGGAAGCACAGTCCTCAGCGTTGTGCAGTCCTTTTTTAATGGCGATGTTGATGTCAGTTCTTACATTTAAATTGTTCCTCAAGATGGAGGACAAGGTGATGGAGTTTTAACCTGGCTGTGTGAAGTGTTCTTTGTGTTTTGGAAACTGACTTTTGTCCTCTTTGGAGGTCTGCAGGAAGCACAGTCCTTAGCGTTGTGCAGTCCTTTTTTAGTGGTGACGTTGATGTCAGTTCTTACATTTAAATTGCTCCTCAAGATGGAGGACGAGGTGATGGAGTTTTAATCTGGCTGTGTAAAGTGTTCTTTTTGGAAACTGACTTTTGTCCTCTTTGGATTTCCCCTAGGGTAATTCCGTGCTGGATAGGAACACCCTCATGGTGCAGGAACGAAGGCTACACATTGGGGTGCACAATGGTTTCTGTTTTGTGCAGCCCCCACAGGTGGTAGTGGTGGTACCAGAGGCTAAGGTGGCTCAGGGACACACGGGGAGCAGGCGCAGGAAACATGGAGCTCCTGTTAAACCAAGGTGAGAGGAGGAGAGAGTCCCAGACCATGGTGCAGAAATGCTTTGTAGCTTTGTCTACCTGGACTTTTGATTTGTGCTACTCCACTCAGGAGGAGGTAGGTGAAACCAAAGGCTTCAGCAGGGGGAAAAAAATACTTTTTAGCTTCAGCGTAGATTGCCACCACTCTCTTCTTATTCAGACATACGCTTGGGCTATAGAATAGGAGAGATGAAGTGGTCAGTCCTTCCCAGGATTAGGCTGGGATGGGCTGAGCATCACTTCCAACCCCCGATAAATGAGCAGAGAAGATGAAGATCCCAACATTGGCTCAAGACTCCAGGAGGGTCCAAGACATCACAGAACGACCCATGAAACTTTACAGTGGCCTGCAATAAACTTAGCTAGAAATTTTAAAAAACAATAGGTTGTTAAATCACATAGTGAAGTAAGGAAAAAAAGCACATATCAACAACACTTTGCAGATCTCAGCATGGAGAGCCGGCAAGTTGGTTGCTCTTCGATCTGATTCACCTTTTCTACAGTTCTTCAATTACTATTTCTACAACTCTTTGACTATTGTTCCTGCCTAAAATAGTCTGTTCAGGAAAATCGGAGATATTAAAGGATCATTTTGTGCAAAGATAAACATAATAAAGGACAAAAATGGGAGGTACCTAACGGAAGCAGAAGACATCAAGAAGAGGTGGCAAGAATACATAGGAATTATACCAGAAAGATTTGGGTATCCCGGACAACCCAGATAGTGTGGTTGGTGACCTTGAGCCAGACATCCTGGAGAGTGAAGTCAAGTGGGCCTTAAAAAGCTTGTCTAACAACAAGCTCAGTGGAGGTGATGGCATTCCGGTGGAACTATTTAAAATCTTAAAAGTTGATGCTGTTAAGATGCTACATTCAATATGCCAGCATGTCTGGCCACTGGCCACTGGTCCCATCCCCTCCTGGCAAATAGAAGGGGAAGAGATGGAGGCAGTGACAGATTTTACTATCTTGGGCTCCATGATCACTGCAGATGGTGACAGCAGCCACGAAATTAAAAGACACCTATTTCTTGGGCGGAAAGCAATGACAAACCGTGACGACATCTTGAAAAGCAGAGACATCACCTTGCCAACAAAAGTCCAAATAGTCAAAGCTATGGTTTTCCCTGTAGTAATGTACGGAAGTAAGAGCTGGACCATAAAGAAAGCTGACTGCTGAAGAACTGATGCTTTTGAATTGTGGTGCTGGAGGAGTCTCTTGAGAGTCCCCTGGACTGCAAGGAGAACAAACCTATCCTTTCTGAAGGAGATGAGCCCCGAGTGCTTCCTGGAAGGACAGATCCTGAAGCTGAGGCTCCAATACTTTGGCCATCTCATGAGAAGAGAAGACTCCCTGGAAAAGACCCTGACGTTGGGAAAGTGTGAAGGCAAGAGGAGAAGGGGACGTCAGAGGACGAGATGGTTGGACAGTGTCATCAAAGTGACCAACATGAATTTGACCCAACTCTGGGAGGCAGTGGGAGACAGGAGGGCCTGGCGTGCTCTGGTCCATGGGGTCACCAAGAGTCGGACACGACTAAATGACTAAACAACAACAAAATAGTCTCAGAGTTCCACCTTAATCAATGTCTTTCCACCTCTAGCCTCAGACTTAGAAAAGACATTGCATATACTAGAACAATGGCTCCCAACCTTGAGTCCTCATATATCTGTGGACTGAAACTCCCAGAAGCCTTCACGCAAGTTGTGCTGGCCAGGATTTCTGAGAGTTGTAGTCCAAGAACATCAGGGGACCTAAGATTGGGAAGCACCGTTCTGATTGTTCACAGGTCCTGGCTTTTTCTGTATTCAGGATTAAGCTATTCTGAAAGTCTCCTAGACTGCTCTTCTGTAACCAAGGGCCTTAAAAAAGCCAATACATTACTTACCAGCTTTTACCCTGGATAATGAACACTTTTATATTGGCCTGCCAGCTAGTAGGAAAACCGATGCCCACATTTTTCAAAGGGCACTCAACTAGAGCAGTTGCTGCCTCTACAGCATTCTTTGAGAGTTTCTAGCTGAGAGACATTTGTAAAGTGGCAAGGTAGTTCCAGCCTCTGACATTTGTCAAGCATTAACAAATTGGATGTCAGGGCAAAGTTAGACGCTTCTTTCAGCAGAGCAGTCATTTCTTCCATTTTGGTGTGACACACCACCAGCTGGTAAGTGAGCTTGTCAGTCACCCAAATAATGTGATTCACAGAGATCACAAAGGAGGACAGGTTACTGTCCATAGTTCTTTGAGTAGTCATTTGTGAATTCACGCAACCAACCCATACTCACCTAAGTCTGCCATTCAGGTATATATTGTAAGCTGTGGTTGACTGTGAGAACTGAGGATTAGCTCAGTTTCCTCCATGGAGGGCATGCAAAGTATGGAGAGTGTGGACTCATGCACAGAGAAACCCCAATTGTGTGAATTCACAGATGACCACACAAAGAACTACAGTTACAGGTAGGTGACCTGTCCTTTGTTCCACTGTGGTTGGAGGCAAAGGAAAGGTCTTCATGTCTGGGAATATAAACCATGCTGAAGTTAATTGTGTTTTGCTGGCTGACATTTAGTAGTGGTACTTCCTAGCCTCTGAACTGATGGGTTCTCTTCTGGCATTCCTGACACAGCTCAGAGGGGCAGGCACTTGTCCTACGAAGCCACATCCACTTGACGGAGATGGTCCCTCACCCAGCCTTTGGAGTGGTCTTCTTGCTGGAGTACGTCTTCTCCGTGGCTAGTGGGCCAGATGGGAAGGTAGGAGTGGCCTCTGCTTCTGGCTCTTCTGCTCCTTTTTCCAAACATTCCAAAGAAGGTGTCCTCCTCCAGAGTTACAGCTCCATTTTCCCAGTATCTTCTCAAGTTCTTATCTATGCCTCCTTTGTCCCCAAGAGATGTACGATAAAATCTTTCCAAGGGGATAGCCGTCTTGTGAGGAATCCTGTTACAGGCAATGATCTTGTGTCGCTTTAGAGGCTACTAAGTTTTTTTTTCTTTTTTAAAATTGTGTGTTTAGTTTAATTTGTTATAAGCTGTCCTGAAAGGTGTCTCGGCTCTTCAGGCCAGAAGGGTGGAACTTCAGCGGGTGGACATTGATATGTATTTGAAGGTGAAGCCATGGGGAAATGGAAGGGAAATGCAAAAAAGGACCAGATGGGGATGGTCTTTATCAGTAGTAAGGTAAAGGTTCCCCTTGACATTTAGTCCAGTCGTGTCCGACTCTAGGGGGGCGGTGCTCATCCCTGTCTCCAAGCCATAGAGCCGGCGTTTGTCCGAAGACTGTTTCCATGGTCACATGGCCAGCGCGACTAGACACAGAACGCCGTGACCTTCCCACTGAGGTTGCACCTATTTATCTACTCATATTTTTACATGCATTTGAACGGCTAGGTTGGCATGAGCTGGGACAAGTGAGGGGTGCTCCCTACTTTGCGTGGATTCAATCTTACTACGGTGAGTCTTCTGACCTTGCAGCACAGAGGCTCCTGTGGTTTAACCCACAGTGCCACCGCATCCTTTTTTATCAGTGGTAGTTAAGAGCTATTAACATGCCTTGAGGGGAAAGAGATAGTAATCTTGATAGTGGTTGTTATCAGTCATTGAGAAGAGAAAGTATCTCTAAGCAAGATAAGCAAATGCATACTTCTTTGGTGGCTGAAATTCTTTGTCTAAGAGATGCACCAAGGGTGAGTAGCCTGCAGCCCCTAGAAGTATTTTTGCAGTGGTAGGTGTTTTTTTTTGGGGGGGAGGTCCCCTAAGACACCCACCCACTAAAAATCAAAAAAAGGAAACTATACATGAGTAAGTGAGTAAGGTCAGGCTGACAGAGAGAGGGGAGTGACAGGCCATGATCATAAGAGTGAGTTTCATAGTCAAGAGGGGTCTTAAACAAAGGTCTACCCACTACAGTTCCCCACCTCTGATGCTCATCAATTTTATTTATTTATTTATTTAGAACATTTACGTTCTATCTTATATCTTACAACCTCAGGAAGAAGTACAATATTTTAAAACTATATTTTAAAAATTGAAATATTAAAATCTACATACATATGTACATCAAACATAGTAAGAAAAAGGAAACCCCCACATCCTACTACCTTAATCCCTGAAGGCGTTGATGAATAAACATGTTTTAGCTTGGTACCAAAATGAGTTAAATCCAGCCCTAGGAGGAAAGACTGAAAGAACTGGACATGTTTAGCCGTGAGGAAAGAAAAGACTGAGCGGAGATAGAAGAGCACTTTTAAAATATTTGAACTGAGCAGAGGGTTGGACTCGATGATCTTATAAGTTCCTTCCAGCTCATTTATTTGATGATTCTATTAATCATAAGGTCAAGTTCCAAATGAATATGAGCTACTTAATCTTTAAAGAGATTTTGTTGGTGATGTTATTGTATCTCATAGCAATTAAACTGATGGTTGGTTGTGGTGAATATTTATTTATATCCAACCTCTACTGGGCTTGTAATCAGAGGAAGAGTGAAACAGAAATGAAGTAGGCTTCCTTTGCGCGGGCTGCTACCACCTGGTGAGAGGGAGATATACTGACTGTGGTGTAGGAAAACTCATTCTGGGTATCATAACGGAAACGACTTCGTGTCTGGAATTTTGCTGCCATCAAAAGGCCATCCCATCTCATACAGCAGTGGTACTTCTGCAGAGCGCAATGGTGGCTGTGGAGATTTATAGCAAGTCATAAGGCTTATGCGCATTGCACAATATGTTCACATTGATTTTTAAGTCCTTTAAAATTTATTTAAGATGGGTAAGCTGGTATGAAACTTACAGCTACTCTTGACCTGGTGCCAGATGGTTCTATCGTCGCTTGTAAATCTGCCGTAAGTGGCATTGTCTTATTGGAGGACTGGCACCTCCTAAACAACTGTGAAATTGATTTGGGGGTGGGGGAAATCTTCCATAATTGGGGTATGTTAAATGATGTTGTTAAAGGTATTCTCAAAATATATGAAAGAAATGTTCTGTGGCTGCCTCTCTATCCCTCCCCCTCCGCCCTTTCTCCCTCTCTGTGTCCTCTGATGCAAACATACAGCATCCGTCATTACAGCACTTTTAAGTCCTAGCAAAGGGTGAGGAAGAGTACAGGTAGTAGTGGTGGCTGTACAACAGGAGGCGACAGAGACTGACTTAAGTATTAAAAAACAATCTGATCAAAATCCCACAAGGTGTTCTGATGCCCTATAGCTTTCAGATTAGGTTCTTTGTTTTTCTGGTAGGACATTGAGAGTCCAATGCTTGTCTGCGTTTTGTGGTCTGATCAGTGAGACACGACCTCCACAGGGGGACTGTGTGGCTGAAACACTAACATCTGTTTTTCTGAGAAACCTGGCATGTATGGCCTCATTGTGGGCTTCCCACAGGTGGCTGGTTGGCTTTTGTGGACTTGGGAATCCTTTGAGAGTACCATACCATACAGTTACAGTCCCTCTCAAATGAACTCATCAATACCAAATGGATTGTCTTGAGCAAAAAACTGCCAAACCCCAATGTTTGGGACTTGTAGACAAAGGGAGAGACCTGCCTCAGGCAACAAAAATGACCTTTTTTGGCCATATGTGGCCAATGATGTGAGCTTCCTTCTGTCCCTGCTGGACATTTTCCAAAAGTAGGTAGAATCGAAGAAACGGAAATGCTGAGCATATTTTCCTCAGCCTTTTGCTGTATGGCTAGGTTAATGTTCAGCTCCCATCATCCTCAGCCAGTATTTCTAAGGAGATACATTGGAATTTAGCCAAAATTCCATTTGTGGATTTTGATGAGACTTCATGCCCTTCCTTGACTGGTTGGAAACAATAGAGAACACCTGGAGGGGCAGAGGGTTGAGGAAGGAATGTTCT